TATCAATAAGTGAATATTAAAGTTTTCCTTTTTTTTATTTATAAATTTAAAATTAAGCAAACCGACAAGTACAAATCAAGTATCAAGAAAATTGGTACAAGTACGGGAAATAAATAGACGTTTTCTCTATAAGTCATAACCAGTGTTTATAAAATCTCCCACTAGCAAGCACAAGATTTGCTAGTACAAGATTTGCTAGTGTATAATTCCACAAGTAGAATAACAAGTATAACAAGAACGAACTGATTCCACAAGTAAAATGTCGACATGTGTTAGCGTTTATAAACCTCCCACTAACGGGTACAAGTAGAACATGACTATATTGGAGGCTAAATAGGTTAGCAAGTACATTTCAAGTAAACATACTTATTTCAAGAAAACATGTATCACAATGGTCAAGCAGCATGTATTAAGAAATTTCTATAATTAGGCATACTTAAATAATTAAAATCCAACTTTGAATAAAATGAGATTCAATCATGATAATTAAACTAAAACGGGTTCTTAATCACGGGATCATCTCAAAATCGATAAAAAAAATCATGTTTTAAAATTATATTTAAAATTAATGGTAAAATCATAAATTCACTTACCTTGAAAATAAAAATCTTAAATTTGAAATGTGTAAATAATCAAGAACCTAAAATTTATACTGAATATTAATCAACAACAATCCAAAACTTCTAATTTTAATTTAACTTAATACTATTTAATTTTGTAAGATTTATATTATATTTTCTACACAAGTGTCTACACTTGCTTATTACTAAAATTAAAGGTGTTGACACCAGTATGTCAACTCCTAAATCTGTCACACAGCACCCATGTAACTGCACCACACGGCACACAATGATGTCGCAGCACCACCGGCCCATCAACTATTATTCACGTTATTTTAATAAATCAGTAGGTGCCAACACCTGCCTTGTTACCAGGATTAGAGTATCGACACTGCTGCCAATCTCAAACCAACAAGGCGATAGCGTCATCACTACCCATCCTCACGTAGTAGCACTCACACGCAATTGTATGGGTGCAGCTGTACAACGGCTCCTTCCCCCCTTTAATTGTTATTTATAATATATATATATATATATATATATATATATATTTATAACATCTATTATTAATTTAATAATCTTTGAGGCAAAACATGAAAACTTACCAAGATTTAAAATTTAATGTCAGATTTAAGATCAAACCTTAATAATAAGTGTAAAAGAAGATCTAAAGATTACAATATTTGGTTAAGCAATAAAGATATGAGGAAACAAGAAAGAACAAGAAATAAGAGAAATAAGTATACTCACCATTAGAATTTTAGGGTTGAACTATGGGAGAAGGATGATTGAACCTGAGAGGAAGTGTTTATTGCGTGAAAGCAAATTTATTTTGAGAATGAAAAAGGATTAAACGGGTAAACTTCACATCTAAATTTTATTTGGGAAAATAAAAATTTTTAAATTAAAATGCATTAATCCCAAATTAACTCTTTAAATTAAAATTTTAATTTAATATAAAAATTAAGATCATAAATCCTCATAATTGACAATTAATCTCAACCATTAATTAGGAAAAATATGCAAATTATTACAAATATCATCTTCAAAATTTCAATAAATTAATGATTTAGCTTCCACTTGTTTTGTTTTCTTTTTTTTTTTCAATATTTGATAAGGACGAGGTAACTACTGATCCACAAGACGTTCTCCACTTGTTTTGGTTTTAGATGGCAACACTCACAGAGTTTTAATAAAAAAGTCATTTGGGACCACATGGTTGGCAAAAGTCTACCTTGAGTCCCTCACCTTACCAAATTTGAAGATTTTAATTTAACCTCTCATCTTACTAGAGTTAGATTTTAACCCATCACCTTATATTAAAACACTTTTAACCCCTTACTTATTAAAATTGAAGAAATTAGCTATCACTTTGTAATATTTTGTTAGTTTTGTTAGCTGACTGTTAATTTTGTTAGCTGACTGTTGTTGACTGTTAATTCTGTTAGCTGACTGTTGTTGACTGTTAATTGTTAACTGTTAAAAATTTTCTTTCAGCTAATAAAATTAATATAACTAATTTTTTAATATTTTGTTAATTATGTTAATTGACTATTAGTTGACTATTAATTGATAAAAATCTATTTTTAACTAACAGAGTTAACAGTTAGTATAAAGTGAAGGCTATTTTCTTTGATTTTAATAAGTGAAGGATTAAAATTTATAAATTTAATAAGATGAGGAGTTAAAAATATCAAAATATAATATAAAGTAAAAAATTAAAACTTTCAAATTTAATAAAGTGAAAAGTTAAAAATAAGTTTTTAACTCACATGATTTCGATGGGAGTGTATGTCATCACACCCGGATTATAATCGCGGGACATAAATTTTTAAATTTTTAAATAAGTTTTGTTTACTTTATTTGCTAGAAATGGTCGATATTTATTTTTTAATAAGTTAAATTACTTTTACAAATAAAAAAAATTTAAATTTAAAATACATGATATATAAGTAAAGTAAATTAAAAATTATAAAAAAATTATTTTTTATTAAAAAATAATCATTTATATAAAATATTAATTTTTATGTATCTTTAATAACATAGTGTGCAGTCATATTCACGTCCCACTTCCTAGCATAAAACTTGCCCCAACCTTCAAATAAAATTGCAACAGATATACGGTACGTATATTCATTTTATAATATGTTGGTGTTTGACAGGGGATGGCACAGTCGAGTTTTCTACCCAACAGTATCTTGATAATAATTCGTTAAAGCAATTGGGAGCAACACCCTTGAAGGAAAGGTTTAAAGCCAACTGTCGTCCCTCTACTTTAATATTTTATTCGTTCTTGTCCCTCTACTAAGGTCATGTTCGTTGTCGTCCCTCTACTCTCCAAAGAGCCAAAACGTCGTCCCTCTACTTGGCTTTTTTTG